GGCGATGACAGCAAGGTTGACCCAGACGATGGCGCGGAACACCCGCGGGATGAAGTCAAGCCAAGCGCATTGCGACAACACGTCATCGACATCACGAAACAATGGGAAGGTACAGTTGTTATTATGTTATGCATGCAGTCTTATGCATTCGTTGTAGGCTCACATCGAGTGATCAACATGGACAACTGGTACTCGTCGGTGCAGTTGTGTTTGACGCTGCTCAAGATGGGCATGTATTGCCGAGGAACGGTTCGAAGCCACAGAGCGCACAACCCACGGTTTGGCATGTTCGACAAGAAGCAGATCAAGTCCGTCATGCGCGGTTCAAGTCTAGTGTCCATCGCTACAGTACATCTCTTGGCATCATTGCCCTTTCCTGGCTCGATGGCACAGTCGTGAACATGCTATCTACTGCGGATGCAACTGCGAAGTCGTATGTCCATCGCCGAATTGGAAGGTACGTGGCTACATTATGGTATCTCCTGCTAACTTTAACCAACCCGTAGTGAAACTCGCCAACAAGAATGCCTATCGCTCGTCGGCCTGTACAACAAGTACATGCAAGGTGTGGACCGCCACGATCATCTCCGCGAACGGTTCTCGATCGCGTCGGGTGCAAGTTTCTAGCACTGGTACAAGACGCTCGGGTTTGCACTCGTCGACATCGCTATCACCAACTTTGTACCAATGGAGTACGCCAACGTACAAATGACTCAGTCTGCGAAGGTTCTCAAAAAGGCGGCGGCCGACAAGGCGGCTGCCGATGATAAAGTTAACCGCTGCTCTGAAGCGCGACGCTTCTCTTCGGCAGCCGCCAACGTCCTCATTCACGGACAAGCAAGCGGAAGTGTCGTACGACCAGCGTATGCGAGTTACTATGTCGTTTGTTACTTCGAGCGGAACAAAGAACTCATAAAGACGCAGTGGTGCGACGTACACAAAGTGTACTTATGTACAAAGGCCTACATGCCAAGCAAGTCCCAGCGCACGTCTGCCCCCATGCCGCGTGGTCTTGTTGGGAGAAATTTCACTCGTTCTATCACCCGAAGGGCCTTTTCAAGAAGGACGGCAAGATGGATCGAGGCAGCGAACTGTACAGATTGAAGAAGCATAGTATGATGGAACACAAATCGAGCAGCGCGAAGAAGACTCTCATTTTACTTTCGAGCTATAAGCCGCCGATCATACATGAAAATCGCGCGATCGGATCATAAAGTTGAACAATAAAAAACATAACTGCGAAGTTACACAACTGGGATTGAACCCTAGACCTTTCGCTTCTAAGCACAACGACATACCACAGAGCTACTGGAGCAGTTGAATTATTAATTGGTAAAAGCCAATAGACATATAAACCTAACCTGAAAATTCAACAAAAAGATTGATAACTGTTAAGGTAACCGGCGGGGATTGAACCCTATCCCTTTCGCTTCCCAACCCAACGACACACCACTGAGCTGCAGGAGCAGTTGAATATTTGATCAGATTACGCCGGCGTCCACTTTCTACATTGTGCTACGCTTCCCCCTTCACGTGGACGTGACTTGCAGTAGAAAAAGCTCAGGTCGAAGGTGAAATTTGCTCGTGCCATCCGAGAGCTTGCAAGGCATCCCCGACAGTGTAGAGCGATCCCGTGACGAGTACTCGTTCGGCCGCCTTTGTCCTTTTGCGTACCCACTCCAGCGCGTGCTTCATGGACGGAAAGAACCGCGGGGGGGGGGAGAAGGAGGGCTGTCCTTGCGATGCCTTCAAACGCATCCAAACAGTCGCGCAAACTTGCTGCCACTTCATATCCGTGTTCACTGGCAGTGCTGACGCTGCTACCGCCGGCAGGGGAACGTCCTGTGGCAGGACAATGGACGTGTTCTGGGACACTTCTTCCACCGTGGGTATCTACCATCTCTTTAAGTCATTATGCGTTGGACATGTCAAGAAGATGTGCGTATCCGGCATATGACGGGGCGGCCATTCCCATGGTATAAAACTCATCGCGATCGAAACGAGTGGCTACCAAGGGCTGGAACATAGCCGCAATGTCTTGCTGGTGGTGGCAATTGAAGATTAGCGTGGTTGGAGGGCGATGGGTCGTCTGCGATGGTGCTTTCATACCACCTAATTATTTTATTAGGGCAGGCTCACTTTGGGCAAGCCTCATAAGAATAGGCGTTTCTAAAGATAGATGCCTATTATACCTATTTTATCCTTGTCCTAACGCCTACTTTAAGTAACATAAATTGCTGGTCTAAGAGCATCCCCACTCGTGGCGCTAAAACTCCAAAACTGTATTTTTTCAGTCAGATTTTAGCGTTTAATTCTCCCACCGCGGGACTCTAAATTCTAGCGTCGACGCTATCCGGCGCGCTAAAGTCAGATTATTCGTCAGATTTGACCGATTGGTTAGAGTTCTGGCCAGCATACAATCAGCAATACATTTTCATGGGCATACAATTCCCAACACGTTTAGTATTACCTGGTTGCAATGGCATGACGCCATGTCGGCCAAGTACAGGTGTGTGTCCTCGCGGCCCCACATAGCGCAAAGCGCCGCTCAACGCTAAGTTAGAGTGAGTC